TCTTCAGGACCATGGAAAGCTCCCGCAGGATTTTTGGCTTCCCTAAAGTCCATGCAAAGGACCCACTTTCCTTTCTTTTTACAGGTTTCTCTCTCTTTCCCCCCTCATTGTTGACAGTATTACAGATGTCCCCATTCCCCCCCTCTTTACCCCCCTCCACCCAGTCTCTTCCCCGTCCCAGGCCTTCACCACAGTATTGTCTGTATCCATGGGCTATGCATATATATTCTTTGATTAATCTCTTCCTGTCCTCCCCAGCTCTCTCCCCTCTGAGATCTGTCAGTCTATCCCATGTATATTCTGTTCATTAATATAAGTGAGATCATGTGATACTTGTCTTTTTCTGACTGACTTATTTTACTTAGTATAATAATCTCCAGGTCCATCCTTGCTGTTGCAAAGGGTAAGAGAACCTTCTTTTTTACAGCCATGTAGTATTCCAATTTGTGATGGTTGTTAGATGGCAGAGACCATCCAAGAAATTGAGACCTCTAGGTGTCCTGATTGAGTGAGATGGCTCACACGTAGCAGCTGCAAGACTTTTTTTCTTGTGTGGGTCTCTGTTGTCACTTATTGTTGAACCACACTGAGATTTCCAGTATCAGTTTGGTATGGTCTCTGGGGAAAACTATCTTAATCTAACTTTTTCTTTTCTATGTCTTGTGCAGGGTGCCTTTCTTTCCCTTAGGCAGCTACCAGTTATTGAGTACTTCCCATGTGCCAGGAATTGTGCTTGTTCTTGAGAACTCAGAATTGAATAAATAGAGCCATTTCCTTGCAGGAAAGCATTCTATAAAAGAAAAAAAAAGAAAGGGGTATGGGGAGGGAGAGAATGCAATGCTTGAGTAATGACTTTTCAATAGAGAAACACTAGATTTGTGTTTTAAAGAACTGACAGGAATTTATGAAGCAGGACATACCGAAAGTTTATTCTAGATAGAAAGGTATAACAAGAGGCAGGAAAATGTTTGGTGAATTCAGCAACAGGATGGCTAGGATACATGTGGCGAGAAGCAGAATGAAACAAAGCTGAAGCGATAGGAAAAGGCCTGATTATAAAAGGTCTGAATGTTGTCAAATTATTTTGGATTTTTTTCTGAAATAGTGAGTAGGGTTAGAAAGGGTTTTGATCACGAGAGAGACAATTCTGTATGGTGCTTTAGCAATGTCACTGTGTTGTAATGGTTGAAGGAGATGATGCACTAAAAAAGGCTTTTAAAAACAAAACTACCGTTCTATGGTAAGGGGTAGTTGTAATCATTCTCATTGTTGCAAATAAAATCCCTGATAGGGGCTGTTCAGTGGAAATGTCTATATGGATCAATTCAATAAAAAAAACAACTTTTGAAAAAAAGCACAAATTATGTAAGTTTATAATAGGAAAAAATACAGACGAGCAATAAGGAAAATAGATTGTCCCTTAACCCATTATTCAGAGATAACTGTAGCTAGAATTGTGTGTTTGTGTGTGTGTGTGTGTACGTGTCAAGGGGGTCTATTTTCCCACATATGTTTTATACATATGATTTTTTACTTTATATTATGAACATAATTCTATAGCATATCAATAATTGTATATCTACCTTTTTATTTTAATGGCCACCTATAATTCTATTGAATTGATGTCCCCAATGTCTTTAACCAATTTCCTCTTGTAAGATCACGTTCACATTTGGTAAGAGAAATCCAGTGGAAAATAGGAAAAGGTCCTTGGGCTATAAACTTTGGGCAAAGGGAAATTTTTGAAGATTTGCAAGGAGAGAATTAACATGACTGGGTACCAGCTTGACAAAAAATTTCAAACTCTGGGAAGCTTTTCAAATAGCTTGTAGCCTGTTAGGCTTGAGATAGGGCCAGAGGGTGACCCTTGGGGTTTTCTCTGGATTCAGGGAACTCAAATGGCCTAGTTGTTCTTATCTGGCTGCTGCCATGGCAGGAACTTGGCACCTGAGGCTGAGTGGCTCTGACTCTGGCAGAGATGACTGGAGGCCAGGAATGCCCTGGTTTCCTCTCCCCCGGCTGTGAGGAGTCTTTCCACCAGAAGCGGCCAAACTTGCTGGATCGGTTCCCCTCTCGGTAAAATATTGTTAAGTATGCAACTCAAATATATGCACATTTATCTTAAAATTGCATTCAAGTGCTACTGTACTACATATTTAGTACATTATAAAACACTCAGCAAATTAAAAATTTTAAAAGCACGAGAATGGGAATAAAACATTTAAAAATAAAAGAAAAATCTTTTTTTTTTTTTTGCTCATAGTTAAATACTGTTATTCATATTGCATGTAAAATGTTAAGTATTATTAATATTTTAGAGAGATCAGTATGATTGAACTATCTGCTTCACTTTCTTTTAAAAAAATCCTGGTTTAAGACTTTGATATTTGTGAATTCATGTCCAAGTTCAGTTTATCCCGACACTTGATTTTTACTATCCAAATCAAGCAGATACTGCACAGAGATATGTTGATCCAGCTAGAATAGAGTATAATTGGATGCAATTTGTAAATTATGACATTCATTTAAAAGTTCTATCCACTTTATATAAATGTTTTGGTTGAAATTTAGCTAGCAAATTTCTATCATTTTATATGTCAGTTAGTTTTTTTGTTTTTGTTTTTAAACTGGGTTAAAACCACTGAAGTTCTTCAGTGGGAAGATTTTAGATAGGTTATAAATGAGGGAAATAAATGAGCTTAAAAAGTAGAGGGTTTTTTCAGTACACAATTTAGGCATGATACAATGGCAAACCCTTCCAACATTCTTCTGAAAATGTTCTTTTAATAGCAAGATCTTTTTTTCCCTAAGAAAATTTAGAAGATTTAAATGTTTATTTAAAAAAAAAAAAAAGAGTAGCTTTATTTTAATTCCAACAACGCTTCAGTATTTACCCTTAAAATAATCAGCTAATCTCAGTGGGACATAAAAGATTATCATGATTATTTCCTACTGCATTACAGAGCAGTGTCAATATTTTACTATTTAGCAACCTTATTTCATATATAGATGAACAAATTTAGTGATGTCCTGGAGCATATAAATGTTAATACACTGTAATATTATAAAAACAAGCAAACAAGAGGGGGCCCCTTTTGTCTCTTCTGAGCTGTGTAACTTCATTCTTCTTCCATCATGTACTTCAGATAATACCCTGCCTCCTGACCTCAGACCCAGAGACCAGTGTCAGTGTGCACATTGTATAGTCATAAAGGTTCATTTATTTCTCAACATCAACATAAAAATTAATAGGAGAAGAGATGCTGATTCACTTTCTTCCTGTACTCCAATTCTGCATACCCCTTGAGGTTCACAAATACTATGAAGTTTCCTTCTTTTTTCCTGGGACACTGTTTCCCAAATTTAAAATGAGGGAAATGAATGAGATTATGTATTCAAGACTTTTCCACTCTGACATTTTAAGGTTCTTTCGGTTTCTCAACATAACAAGAGTCAACTAGCAGAAACGTGTGTTGGGACTCTGGATGGACGAGTTTTGATGAGGGAGGTGACTTTAAGAGAAGTAACATTGAGAGTAGGTGTCCCGTAATGGGAAGTCCCAGGGGACAAGGGTGTGGAAGAAGCAGTAGAGATGTGGTGGTGAGGAAAGAATGATCCCGGAGACACTGCTCTTGCATCTGACCTTGGACAGGCTATTTTTTAACTCTCTGGACCTCAGTGACCTCATGGTAAAATGGAGTGGGGGAGGGGAGTAGGTTATCTTACAGATCTCTATCAGCTGAAAGGGACCCCAAGTGTTGGGGTCCATGGAGGAATAGAGAATACGACAGGGCAGGCCAGGTGACGCCTAAGCTCTTCCTTCCAGTGTTGGAAAAGGTGACCTTGGTCAAGGCCTCTGAGGGACCCTTTCATAGTGGCGGAATTACAAAGCAACCCACAGGGCAGCCTCTGGGCTCAGAAGGCCCTGGCTCTGCCACTTACTACCTGTGTGACTCTGGGAAAGTTTTTTGAGTCTGCCTCTCATTTTTCATCATTTGTAAAATAGTATTACCAATAGGCTTTCCATCTTGGGTTGCTGAGAGAATTCAAATGAAATAAAATGATATAAAACAGGGAGTTGAACACAATCCCTAGGATATGGTACGTGTTCAACAAACAGCTATCATTGTTCTCTTAGTTCTTACACTTTTCTCTCTCACCTGGAGGGAACAGCGGACTTTTTGGTCCTACTAAGCAAAACAACAACAATAAACTGAATTTGCAGAAATAGAAATCTTTCTTCCCCCTGGGTCTGTTCTGAAGTCCCATGAATGATGAACTCTTCCACTTTTTCATGCTAGTCCCTAAATATTTCTTTTTCCTTCATTCCTGCAAATGCCACCTCTTTGCACTGAACACATCTCAACGCCAAATACAACAAAGTCTTTTCTTTTTCTTTTTTTTTTTTTAAAGAACAGATTGAAGTTTGGTTGAAGCAGAAATAGTACTCTGTTAGAGCTTAGAATTTGCAAGTGTAAGTCTCTTCTACAGCCAGGTGTGTGAGCCCGAGAAGATAAGGGTGTTAAGAGGAGCATTTCTATGTTGGAAATATCCTCAGATTAATTTGAAGGCACTTGTCAATGGCATACTGTTCTGCCACTCTTGGGCACGTTATTATTGCTCAGCCCGCCAACTTGATGTCTGAAAATCACTCTTGATTAAAAAAAAAGGGGGACAAGGAATTAAATATTGCCACTTCCTAATCGCTCCCAAATAACTCAGCATATGAAATACTTTGGGCTGCCTTCTTGGAAGATAAAAGGTTTTCTGAGAAAGAGGGCAAGAGCAGAGGACTTGAAGCCAGGAGGTTGCTTCTGCAGTGAGTGCAGCCGAGTGGCCACCGCCAGACTGCTGAGGTGGAGTAGGAGCCTGAGGTCCCCAGCCCAGGGGAGCTGGCATTTTCAGAAAATTAACCAAAATGCTCTCTGAAAAGATGCTCTCAGAATAGCTGTTCATGAATAACTTTTGATTGACCTATTTGATTTTCTGTGTTTCCAGCTGGCATGGTGCTGTGCCCAAGGGGCGTGTGAGGTTGCAGAATAAGCATAACATGCTCCGTAGTACCGGGTGGTCTTGGTACCTCCTCCTCCTCCTTTAAAGATGAAAATTAACAAGGATATAATTTGGAAGCTGTTTTGCAAACGTGGAGGTAAGGAACACAGGCCTGTGGTTAGACAAAACTGTGCCAGATCCTGGCTCTGGCTTGAGCAGGTGACCGAGCCTCTCAATGTGTGGAAGGAGGGGGGTAATCATACCTACTTCATAGGTGGTAATAGAGACGGAATGACATTAAGTTTAGCTTTAGCACAATGCCTGGTACATGTAAGTGCTCAGTAAGTGGTGACTTACTGAGTAGCTCTTGGCAAGAGCAGAGTTAATTTGGTTGCAAGCAACAGTCATCAACTCAGTTTAGCTCAGATAAAGGAAGGTTTATTGGAAAAAATAACAGGCAATCTCAAGGCAACCGAAGGTAAGAGATACGATCCAGCTGGTTTTGCAGGGACTGACCCGGAAGTCTAGAACCAGTGACTCCTTCATTATGTTTTTCTCTACATCTTTATTCCATTCGTCTCCTGGGGGTCTGTGTCAGTTAATTCACCTCTGCCATTTGGGATACTTTGTTGGAAAAATTAGAGAAAGTTTGATTACATGTACTCCTGATCTTGTGGATACAAAAAAAGAGAAATGACTAACTGTCAGAGCAGAAAAGCCTCATACAGAGTCTAGCTCATGAGTGGCCACAACATAGCACAGGTCAGACATCACCAATCAGTCTCAACAGGGTTTATGCTGAGCTCAGAGTTGGCCTCATAATCCTTCTTAGCATTTCATTTCCAGACAGCCACTAGTAAGTGAATGGAGGAAGCTCATGTACTAAAACTGATCTGCTATTCTTTATCCAACCACTTTGCTATAGATGAAGAACAGAGGTTCGGAGAGGGAATGTGATTAGCACAAGGTCACATTGCTGAGCTAGATGAGAACCACACATTTTTTGGCGGAGGGGATAAAACTATCCCAGAAGAGAAAACCAGAATGCAATGACGAGCTAAGCCAGTGGGAGCTAGAACACTCCAGGGGGGATTTACAGCAAAGATTGGAACTACCAGGACCTGAGAGGGCTGGGACAGAGAGAGAGAGAAGAGCAGCATTTATAACGATGTACAGGTTTCCAAAGTTGGGGAGAGGACTGGGAGACCTGGTCTTTGAGGCAAGATTCTTCCATAAGCTGCTCTCCTGTTCTGGTGGCTGCCATAGAAATAATTATCATCGGCTCTGCTTGGAGGCAAGAAGTACAGTCTAATGCAGCAGTCTATCAGTGGCCATCCTGATGACAGCTGGTTTGCTTTCTACGTCATTGATTAGACTGGTGATGTTGACATTGCACAGGAGCCCGATTGGTACACTTTAAAAAATGTTTAAAAATTTATTACTTTTTTTTTTTTTTTTTGCTACGAGTAGATATAATACCAAGTTCCTTCTTGGTGGACCACTTTAGATAGAGGCACATATACCTCTCTTCTGTCTTTAACTGGGACAAAGGCTGTAGGTTTTGTTTACTTGTGACCTCCGTTTTACAAAGGCTGCATATTTGGAAACCCCTCGCTATTGCAGGTCTTCGTGTGGAGCCGGTGAACTGGGGTTTTCAGAGACACTGTCTGCTCTGGGTTGGACCGTTGAGTGAGAAGATTTCTGAGAGATCCTTTGGAGTAAAACCGAGTTGAATTTCAAGTTCAGCTTCACCACTTAATAATTGTGCCGCCTTGAGCACTTGACTTAACGGCTCTGTGCCTCAGTTTCCCCCTCTGTACGATGGGGGCAGCATAAGCACAGAGCTGCTTGAGGGTTCAGCGGAACAATATATGGAATACTCGGCAAAGTGCTTTCATGAGTGATTGCTATTAGATTGTAGCGGTTAGACTGATAGCTAGTTTGATAACTGGAATGTTCTCTGGGCTCTCTAGGAGGCAAAGCTTTCCTATAACAAAATCCTTCAGTCTCATGTAAGGATTTCTGGGAAGGGGAAACTCTGGGTATCTTTTATTTTTTGCCATGGTCTTCTTTATTCCCAAAAGGTAGATGTGCCATTTGGGCAGCCGAGGAATGAAGAATTCTGAAAACGGGATGTCAGAGCTGGAAGGACACTTCAAGCTGAGATAGCTCTAGTTCAGCTAGTTACTTCCACAGATAGAAACATCCAAGCCCAGAAACACTAAGTGACGTGCTCAAAGTCACGCAGCCAGTTTGTTACAGAGAAAACAAAGTTTTGCAGGTGAGAAGTCAAGGGCTGCCTTGAAAATATAATGTCTTTTTTTTTTTTTTAAATCTGCCTATTAGTTAGTCCAGGACCTGGTGGGAGGAGAGGAAAGATAAGACAGACTGCATTCACATTCAGACTCTGCCAGACTCTGCCAATTAATGGCTACACAATCTTGCAGCTAACTCTGAGCTCAGTTCTCTCACTGGAAAACAAGGAATAATTCATCATTATTCATTGTTATATCCTAGCTTTATAAGGCTGTTGATAAATTAAATGAGGTATTACATGTGAGAGGGCTTGAGACAGGACCGGATACATAGTAAGCACTCAATAAACATCAGTGACGATGATGATGATCATCATACTGCTCATGACATTGGTAGCATCAGATCAGCCTTACATCTTAGTGAGTCAAAAGGGAACCAGGCGGTGATCCTTGAGGAGTTGCCTTTATCAGCACCTCTCTTATTTTCCTCTTTGGTGTGGTGTTCATGGGGCTGTAGCCTGGGCAGAAAATACTGTGCGCATCTTTTGTGTAGCATGCGACTTCCTCCACAGCTGGGGCAGAGGAAAGAAGGCTGGGACCAGGCTGGGGTGGCATACATCTAACTTCTTGTAAAACTTCAGCCAGGCAGGCTGTGGTGGGTGGAGTGCTGGTAGCATGGGATGGGCTGGTAGAGGGAGAGGGTACTGGCTTAAGAAAGTGTTAAAAATCCAGGTTCTAATCTACCTGACTTTCACTTGGGCTGGTGTTTCTCCTCTTTGAATTTCTGTTCCCTACAGAAAGGATGAGTAAAGGATGCTCATGTAATTCATCTGTGAACTGCTGACTGCTCCATGCTGGGCACTGAACTAGGCGTGGAGATGTGATGGACACCCTGGTTCTACTTTGGTGTCTGGCAGAACAGTCTCTTTCCTGCTCACCACGTGGGGACGTTGTGAGGATCAGATGCTCACAGAAGTAGAAAGGATTAGCCATTTAAATTATAATGATAAATTTATTGCAAATTCAAAGTATATTCTAAAAGGAACAACAATAATAAAAAAGATTATCCTGGCATATATTAGACACCTAACAAATACTTATTAGAGAGATAAAAACATGTGAACGGACCAGTGCTGAATGTGTGAAAAGCACTTAAGAGCAACTCTAGTTATGGTTGTTTTCCCGACATATCAGGATGGCGCCCCCTTGGGGAGAGGAGCAGTGACGCAGGAAAGAGGTTACAGATGTTATTACAGGATGTGACAAGATGCCCGAGATAAATTTCACCTCCTTCACCTGCTTGTTCAGGGCCATGTCATTCCCAGTGAAGTACATATTATTTTCCAATTTCACAACCCATTATTCTTCTCTTTTTCTTTTCTTTTCCGGCTTTTCATTCTTTTGTGCTCAGTAAAACCCTTCTGGCACTTGTCTCATGGGAACATTGGCTGTTAGTCAAATCCTTCATCCCTTCAGGGAAACAAAAGCAAATCAATACATGATATTAAACAGCTTGGAAGACCCTTGTGATTTAACACTTCCCATAAATGTCAGCCAGCCCTGCCGCTGTGGATGGTCTCAATTTTCACATCTGTCATTTCCTCTCGCTTCTCTCAGCTGCCCCCTGATGTATCCCTTGGAATGGTTTGGAGAGGCAAGGAAACAATAACTTGGGAAAAATGCTAAGAGGTGAGTGGTCCCCATTGCTGAAGACAACCAGAGAGAGTCCCTATGACCATCCTGTGTGGGACAAGATGTCATTCAGGATTCTTTCAATTGTAAGTGATAGCGAACTCATCTCAAGTACAGGCATACCTGGAAAATCTTGTGGGTTTGGTTCCAGACCACTGCAATAAGGCCAGTATCACAATCAGAGTTGTAATCTTTTAGCTGCTGCTGGTGGTGGTGGTGGTGGGGACTTGCTTTCAATCTGTAAAACGCAACCTCTGTGAAGCGCAATGAAGCAAAACGCAGTAAAACGAGGTATGCCTGTAACCAGCAAAGAAAATGTAACGGTTCAGGAAACTTAAGTGCAGGACTAGGGATGGCTTAAAACTTGGGTCCAAATGATATGATTGGGGAACAATTTATTTCTCTCCATCTCTTGGCTCCACGTTTTGCTGCTTGAGCTGGCAGTCTGTCTCCAAGATGGGCGTGGAAACGCAAGTCCCACCTTCTTGTCAGCTTTACGCCCAGCAGGGAAGAGCATCTACTTCACATCAGCATCCCCAGCAAAAGGCAGCTTCCCTCGCTGTGCTTGGAACACACAGCCATCGGAACCAATTACTGTGTCAAGGGGGAATAGCATGGTCTGATCGGGTTGTGGTATGAATTCTGTGCTCCACACATGAAGTTAGGGTTAGAACCTTTTCCAAAGCCTAAAAACAGTAGAGAATGTGGTTGCAGAGGGGAAATAAGGGTATACGTCCACGAAGAATGGGGAGCTGATGGGGGACATCACATGTCACAGTGGCAATCAGGTAATGCTGTATGACACAGGGTTATAAACCACTACTGGTGATATTTGACACTGATAAAGCTAAGACACTGGGCATTAAGTGGAGGCCCAGAGAGGAGAAAGCCTGTCCAAGCTCACCCAGCCTGTGACTGGCAGAGCTAGAGAGAGAATGCAATCCCCTGGGCGTTTCTCTTCTCTTCCTCATGTTTCCCAACCTGCTTTGGAAGACTGTTCTCAGAGTCCTGCTGCAAAGGGATGGCTGCTTGCTTTGCAGAGTGGGAGGTTAATGGCAACACTGGGCCCACGGCAATTGTGTGACAAGCACTGGGATCAGTCACAGCCTTTTGGCACCTGCCGCTTGAAAGCCAGGGGAGGTGGTGAACGGAAGACAGTGGGGAGAGAAGTGACATTATTTCGAGGAACAAAGCACAGGGAACTATTTTGTTTCTTTTTATTTGTTTATTCCCTCTGTCTGTCCTGCTCAGGGACAGCCTTATGGAGTGTAGAAAGAGAGAGTATGGGGGAAAAAATGAGCACCAGCTGTTAGTCCAGAGAGCCGAGTTCTCCTCCTTAATCTGCTCTGTGACTTTAGGCAATGCCAGCCCCTTCTCTGGGCCTTTGTTTCCCTGTTTGGTAAAATGAGGCAGTTGGATAATAAAGATCATTTATGATTGAATATTCTCTTGTTCCATTTCGGGGGCTTACCTATGTGAACAGAGTATTGCCCATTGATGCCTTGTCACTATTGTATCCCACAGAACCTAGGGCCCAGGGCCCACAGAGCACATCTGCAGGGGAACAACCCTTCCTTGGAGGTGTGCCAGCCTCTGAGTCCCTAGCACTTGGTAGGTGCTCAGTAAATATTTTTAGAACGACTAAACTTGGTCTAGCAGGACCCAAAGAGAATCATTCCATTGTTTTAAAAGTTACTTCTTTAGGTCTTGAAAGTCCTTTACATTTGGGCCTTCTTTGAAAATGCAAACCATCTCAGGAGTGTTTGCATTTTAAGTTCAACATAAATGCCATCTTTTTTTTTTTTAAAGGGACAGGAGTGAAGAGAAGGGCCAGCACTTCCTGGTGACTATGTACAGATTACGAAGTTGGCCACTTCTATTTTTTTTAAGATTTCAAAATTAATTTTTAGAGAAAGAGGTAGGGACAGGGAGAGAGAGAGAAACATTGATGTGAGAGCAAAACATCCATCTGCTGCCTTCTGCATGCCCCCTACCGGGGATCGAGCCCTCAACTGTCAGGTGCACCGGATAACACCCAACCAACTGAGCCACACTGGCCAGGGTGTAAATACCATCTTTTGATTGATAGAAAGCCTGGGATTCAGATTAGGGCCTTGAAGGTGGGTGCAGGAAAGAAATAGCTAAGCAGAGGATTCTTAACGCCAAAAAGCCCTATAAAGCGTAGAAGTTGGGTCTGCAAACAATGAAAAAAATGACAAAATCTTACAAGCATCCACATGGAATTGACAATATATTGAACACCCATGTATTTACAGCCAAGTTTGGAAACTAAAATGCTACAACTAAAATATGACTCTTATATGCTCTTTCCCCATTTCCTTCCATTCTCAGAGGTAATCATGACCATGACAGAGTGTTTAATACTCCCGTGATGCTTTATATTCCCTACATATATATATATACATACATAAGTAATATATAAAAAGTTTGCATATTGTACAACTTTATAGAAATGGAATTATACTATATGTATCATTCAGCAATTTACTTTTTCCCTTCAATATTATTTTGACGTCCATCCATATTGAAATGTGTAGTTTTAGTTATTCGTTTCATCTTTTTATTTTTATTTTTTATAGTTTACTGTATTTTAATAGCAAACTTACAGGAACAGCGCAGAAGACAGACAACATTAAAAACACGTCCTCGCATGTAGGACAACTCCGAAAAGTATAGTGAATGGATGGAATCTACTGTATGATAAAAATGCTACAAACACCATTTAGTGTCCATCAATAAGAAATTTACTTGTTTTTAAAAAAATCCAAATGCTAGCATTGTCCAGAAAAATTTAGCAGGTTTATTTATACTGTTATAAAGTTGAACAGCTGAAACCTGTTCATCGAAACACTTTGACTGGCGTTTATGCTTTATGTCCAGCATTTATATTTAAAAAATTCACACACAAATGAAAATGGAAAAACTTCCAAAATCTGATTTCTGCCCCTTATTTTCAACTTACAATCATGTACTTAGGTACCTTTTGACCCCATGGAAAACAAATATCCAACGTTCAGAACTACCAATGACGAGAAGATACTTTTTTTTTTAAAGAATGAAATGTTTCCCGTCATAGTGGATTCTTAAGCACGTTCTCTACATACAGGGCGTGTTAGCTGAATGTCTTTTGGCATAATTGTTACACATTTGGTATGGGTAGCACACAGGTTGGTATCTTCAAAAAGGCCAACCCGATCGGCCTCGCTGGCCTCCGGCAGAGCACCAATAGCTGCACTCTGGAAGGCAGATCTGTTTTGAAGTCCTGAGCGATTTCTCACACCAGCCAGTGGAAAGGAAGTTTGCCAGTCAGAAGTTCAGTGGACTCCTGATAACGTCTAATATCACAAAGTGCCACGGTACCAGCCTGTGACCATGAGGTTTCTTCACCCCGACAGTAGAGGGCGCACTCTTGCGAGCCGCTTTGGTAGCCAGTTGTTTCCTGCGTGCTTGACCCCCGGTGGTGTGTGGGCAGTCTGCTTTGTAGCCATGTATAGAGGCCTCTTTACTTACCCCCTTCTCCTTCGGCTGAAGCTCAGCCGAGGAGGCGTAGGCATTAGAGAGCGATGGCAGTGGTGAACACAATTCTAGTTATTCCTTTTAAATGCTGAATAGTAATCCCTTGAATGACAATAATATACAGTCTACTTTCCCATTCATCTGTTGATAGGTTACTTCTGTATTTTTGCTATAATCAATACGTGATAAACTTCCATGTAAGTACCTCCGTGTGACATGTGCATGAGTTTTTGGGGGGCATATGCCTAGGGGAGGGATTGTTGGGACATGGTGTAGCCTCATCTTCAACATTATCAAATGTTGGGACAAGTCTCCAAAGAGTTGGTACCAATTTTCCCACCCCTCCCCCCAAGCAGTGTGTGGGAGCTCATTCCCAAGTGATGTTGCCCAGTTCCCTGCAACACCTAATGTCACTTACTCATGCCACGGCCTGTATTCTTATTCAAACACCAACAGTCCCCATGACATGGACCATCTAAGACGAAGGGAGGTGAAAGGAACAATCTTTGGGGACATTTAATTTGAATTAGACACAAATAAAGATTTTTTTTTTTTTTTTAGAGCCAGCATTATGCAGACTCTGAAATCGAATGAATCTGAATCCTGCCACTGTCATTTACTAGTTGCATGGCTTTGCACAACATACTTTGACCCTCTTGCCTCAGTTTTCTCCTCTGTCAAGTGAGTATGGTGATTGTTCTTACTTCATGGGTTTTTTGAAGGATTTGATGAGCTCATACTTGTAACACTTAGCATAGCATGTATCCTGGTATGTAGTAGTGGTCAATACATACGAGCTAGTATCATGATTACAGTCCACATTGTCCAGTCATTACCACTTTTTTCATCTTTGAGGGTACCCTTTCCAAACTGGAAGCTCACATTGAGAAATATATATATTTTTAATGCTGAACAAATGGTATGAATTAAGCAGCATTTAATTCTTTATTTCCCTTTTAGTATCAACGCCATATGTGACTGCTAATCAGCTTCTGACTAGCAGAAGGGAACAGTGTTGATACACTGGGTTGCATAATTCCAGCCAAAAACAAGGGAACTCAGATTTCAGTCAGCCAGAGTGGCTTCATCACATGCAAGTCTGCAAATTCCATCAGATTTTTAGAACTATTTTCTTTAAGCAGTGACTCTCCATGGTGACCGCTAGGTTGAGACCCTGATCTAGCCCTGCCTCTGTGTTTCATAGATGGGTAAAGAGAGGTACAAAGAAGAGCAAGCAATTTCTAATTGTTCATGGAGACACAATCGCTTACTTAGTGACCAAATGTTGCCTTAGTTCACACATATGACTCACTGGAAGAGGGGTATCTGGTTATCTATTGCTGCATAACTCACCTCCTCAAAGTTCAGTGGCTTAAAACAATGATTTATCATCTCTCCTGTTTCTGTGGGTTCAATGGACTCAGCCGGGTAGCTCTCTCATGGGTTTGCTCATGCCCAGGTGGTGGTGGGGGCTGCAGGCATCTGAAGTCTCAAGTGGACTGGGCATTCAGGATGGCTCTCCTCCACGGTCGGCAGTTGAGGCTGGGTGTCAACCAGCGTGCCTGCACATGATCTCTCTGTGTCTTGGATGTCTCGCAGCATGGTGGCTGGGTTCTGAGAGGGAGCATCTCAAGAGTGTTTCAAGGTGAAGGAAGCAGAAGCTGCCAGGCCTGGTAAGGGCTGAGGCCCCTTCACTCCCATGGCGTTCTACTGGTCCTGCAGTCACAGGCTCACTCAGGTCCCAGGAGATCAAGTAGATCCCACTTTATGATGAGGGGGTGGCAAAGTCACATTGCAGAATGAGAGATGCTGCAGTTATCTTTGGAAAGGGATGACAATTTCTGTCATGGTATTTTTTTTTCTTTCTCCCAGGGATATGCAAACATCTGTGGTCATCTGCTGAGGAAAGTAAATGAAACCGTGGCCTTTTCTCCCCGGCTCTGCCAGTTCTGGGGGCAGATGACAAAGGCAACTTAATCCCAGTTGAAAGAATCAAAAGGGTGAAAAACTTCCTGGTCCCCGGTAAGGCAGGAATATTAAATATTTTTTAAAAATACCTTACTGGAGCAACCATGTATATACTAATAAGAATGGAATAAAAAAAAACAAAAAACAAAAAACTTGTTTCGGGGAAATGTTCATAATAAAACATCCTGTCCTTGAATTATTAAAAACAATGTTGAGTAAAGAATTGCTTAATTTAGTAAATAATTTTAAAGCAAACCATTATTTTCTTTGAACTTGAATTTGCTGAAAGTACTCCAAGAATTTTATTACCAACATGACTGCACAATGTAATTGTGTAATTAGTAATGCATCTGACACTGTTGGAGAGATTTCGTTATACTTATGGCAAGAACAAAACGTAGTATTTTATCATTTTTAAGACTGCATAAGGGACACTACCCTGCTTTGCTGGTTGGTTTTTTTCCCTCTTTAGTGATGTTGTATGGCTGAAGTCTCAGAGCAAGAACCAACATTTATTGATATTGGCTTGGTGGGCACAACATGTGGTTTGAAGTTGGAGTCACCTAGGTTTTGAATCCTGATGCTGCCTCTTGCTACCTATGTTTTTCTTAAACAAGTTACATAACCCAAATCTCAAAATCCTTATCTATAAAATGGCAATAAGAATATGTATTTCATAAGGTTGCTTTGACTCCTAAGTGGGATAATGTACGCAGAAGGCCTGGGGAGGAGCAGCAGGTCACGGTCCTCGGTCTTCCCTTCTGATTCTGAGTGAGTGCTAGGATGCTCCTTTTAAGATCCATTTTAGGTGTGTTTGCTGGATGCCGGCCAGGGTTGGTGAGGGAGCTAGATTGTCAACTTTTCACATAGATGCACCAAGGAAAATGTCTGTTCAAGGAATCTACAACCTACATACTTAGAATGGCTTGAATGAACAGTCATCAGCTACGTCTTAAATTGATGCACTTTTTTTGTATTGTTTGGTTGGGAGGGACAAATGTTTAGGGAGAGGAGATAGGAAAACATTGCTGTACTCCGAGGGGTTAGGGACCTCAGCATAACTGATGAGGCTCTGTTTTGTCAGAATCTTGGATTATAGTCCCAGTGTGGCAGGGAGGATTCTAAAATGACCCTTCAGTGACTCTCACTCTTGTATGATGTCCTTCCTGTGAGTGTGGGAGAAACCTGTGTCTAGGATGGGTTATCATTCACAGGACAATGTTATATGGCAAAAAGGATTTTGTAGTTGCATGTAAAGTAACTCATCAGTTGACTTTGAATTAATTGAAAGGATGGGCCTTATCTAATCATAGGAGCGCTTTAAATCTGGATCTAGAGGTAAGAGATGAAAGAATTAAGAGGCTCAAAGGATGAGGAAGATTAAACATGAGGAAAATTTCCCATTGCTGGCCTCAGAGTTAAAGAGGGGCACATGGCAAGGACAGAAGACTACCTCTATGAGCTGAGAGTAACCCTCGGACAATAAAGAAATGGGACCTTGGTTCTACAGCCTCAAGAAATTGAATTCTCTTTTTCATAAATTTATTTTTCAATTACAATTTACATTCAATATTATTTTCAGGTGTATAGCATAGTGGCTAGATAATTATATACTTTACAAAGTGTCTCCCTAATATTTCTAGTACCTACCTGCCAGTATACATAGTTATTACAATATTATATTCCTATGCTATACTTTACATCCTCCTGAGTATTTTGTAATTGCCCATTTGCATTTCTTAATTTAAAAAATATGTTTCTTTACTGATTTTAGAGAGAGGAAGAAAGAGGGAGAGAGAGATAGAAACATGGATGAGAGAGAACATCGATTGGCCACCTCTTGCATGCCCCCCCCCCCCCAGGGGAGGATTTGGCCCACAAACTGGGCATGTGTCCTGACTGGGAATGAAACCGGTGACTTCTTGGTGCATGGGTCAATGCTCAACCACTGAGTCACACGGGCCGGGCTGTATTTCTTAATTTCCTCACCCTTTTTGCCCAGTCCCTTTAAGTAACTGAAGTCTGCCTCCAGTCCCATGAGCTTGAAAGAGGACCCCGGGCTATAAAAAGGACTACAGCCCATCCTGCACCTTTGTCTCAGTCTGATGAGACCATGAGCAGAGCTCAGCCTTATGTCTAGACTTGTAACCTACAGACGCTGTGAGGTAATATGTCTGTATTGTTTTAAGCCGTTGTTTTTGGTAACTTGTTGTGCAGCAGTATAAAACTAACATGCCCAGTATTGTGAGATCTGAAGCCGAAGTATTTCCTTTCTGTAGTTGTGAGTTTCCTGGCTGTTAAGTAAGAGGATTTTCTAGTTTAGAACCCTGGTAATCATGGTCATTGTGCATCAAAATTGCTTCGATTATTAGAGGCAGCTTAAATTGCAGATTCCAGTCCTTTCTTCTGATTCTTTTTTGTTTGTTTGTTTTTTTTTTTTTTTTTACTTTTGAATAAAAGATTTATCATTTTCTTCTCAGGAGAAACAGGAAGTTAGGGAACACAATGCATTTTACAGCCCATGTTAATTTGTGGTTGGTGCCACCCTAACTGCACGGCTGTCAATGTATTAGCGGTTTAACCAGACCCTGAAGGAAACAAAGACTTAATTGTTTCACTTCTATTGACTCCCAAACTTTGTTTTAAATTTTTGCATGGGCATCTCTTCGGGTTTCAGACTTGTTCCATTGGACTTACCATTTGTTTCCTACTTTTCCTTTGAAATATTTTCTGCCTGTTCTGCTCCCTCTACAAATGTTTGGATCAATTCCTACATCTTTACGCTGCCCTCCCTGGACTACGTATATAGCCCCTTTAGTTTTGGGCACCAGGAACCTAAGTAATGTCCTGCCCCACAGGGGTCCACAGACCTTCATCCTTCATGAATTTTATCCTCAGGAAGTAGTAGTACAGTGGGTTCTGCAACAGTAACAGTTAGTCATGACGTAGGAGGAGTCACTTTTCCTTGGATTGGTAACTTTTTGGTTGTTGCTTCTCCTACCTTTGGGAGGAAAGTTTCAGAAGTCCCCTGAAGGGGTTGGGGGTCTGGTGGCTGGGTGAGGGAGTGGAGGGGTTGAGCAAAAGAGAAAAACAAAGCTCAGGGATGTGGACAACATGTGGTGATTGCCGGGGGTTTAGGGTAGGGTTAGGGTTAGGGGGCTGGGAGGAGGTAGAGGGTAAAGGAGGGATCACTGGTGATGGACGGAGACTGACTTGGGGTGGTGAACACAACAGATGATGTGTTGTGAATTGTGCACCTGAAACCTGTATACTTTTGTTAACCAGTGTCACCCCAACACATTCATTAAAAAGAAAAAAAAGTCCCCTTAAGAATTTTCAGAGGAGGGGAGAAAATCTTACATGACTTTCTCTAGGTTCCTTTGAATTTGAACATAATCACTTAAAATCACAGACCTGGTTACGGAGTGCTATGACGGCTGCTGGTTGAGCCGAGGAAAGCTTGTTGGAACCAGGTCATTTGAAAGCTTCAGCCTCAGAACGAGGCCTGCAGTCTGTGGACTCCAGGTGACCATAGGCAGGAACGAGATGACAGAATGTCATGGGGGAGAATGCTCTGCATACCCATCTCTAAGGACAGGGCCTCTAGCTAGGGCTATTTATTGTTCTTGATCATAAACCACTTATTTAAATCATATCTACCTTTAAGGACCTAAAAGCACTTTATGTAGTTTTTAATTAATCTTAAGATCTGGTTAAGGTGACCTGTCTCCCATATCCAGTTGTGGAAATAAGCCCATAGATGTAAGTTGGTGGCGTTTAGGGGCCCCACTTCCATTTCACTGGGTGCGACTGCTGAAATGTTGAGGACCTTAGCTGATACTTCGGGCCAGGGGCTGTGCGGGCTCAGGGAGCCCAGTGCTCTGGGAGACGGTGGGTGGCTTTGCTGGGGAGGGATCTGGGAGTAAGGTTAGGGGCTGCACTCTTAGGTTTCCCCAGGCGATCGTGATGTTCGTGGGCGGGAAATCGGTCTTCACCCTGAAACAGCGATTTTTACTGCCTCTCCTGGCACTGACTGGTAAAAGTGACAGAACTCCTTTTCTGTTACAGTAATGAAACAGGGCCCTCTCGCAGACACCAGAGAGGTGCTATTGGACAGCCCCCCGAGTCAGGGGTGAGGGCTGTCCCTAACTTCCATCCTTGTCTTGTCGTATAAACGAATTTATACAAGAAAACTCCAGATGACTGTGTTGTGAAAAAATCCAATTTATTAAAGCAATTAAAGCAAGCAGATTTTGTTAAAGAGGCAGGCAAATCTATACGTCTGGCTTAGGAAGCACAGATGGGCTCTCAGCTAATCTGAAGAGTAAGTTGGGTGGGTGTCTGAGACGTTATAGACCCCCCCCCCCCGTCTATAGGTTTCAAAATTCTTCTGCTGATGGTACAGATTCCAAGGTCCCTTCACTTTGTTGTGGCCTTCCCAGAATTCCTGAGAAGCACCTGGCGATTTTGCCTCGTCAAGCCTCGAGACTCCTGGCTTTTCTGCTTAGGAAGTCAAAAATAAAACTGCCCCCCCTTTCTTTCCCCTTCCCTAAACTGGCTGATTTCTTTGTTTAGGGGGTGAGAAAGACTCCCCTCTTCTCTCCTACTTTCTCTCATGAGGGAGGCTTTTAACCATTTGCTCTTAAGTGTCCTTGGCTGGGGAAGATTATGGCTTGTTACTTGCAGGCCAGCCGCGAACTGCCCACACTGCTTGGCCTTGTTTTAACGTTCCTGTCTCAGTTTCCCTCTCCCTCCTGTCCTGGAGTTTTCCTAGCGTCTCATCTCTCTGTAACAGCGAGTCATAGCCACGTGGGTGCAGGGCTTGCTGGGTGTAAGGCACTGTGTCAATGCTTTGCTTACCCCCTCTCACTTGAGCCTGGTGATTACCTGTAAGGCAGCCCAGTTATAGCCAATAATCGCTGCAGCTGGAGGACGCGAGGCCAAGGTTACACAGTACCGAAGAGGGAGAACTGGCACTTGAATCCTGGACTCGCATTCCCAGTGGGGATCTTAACCACCAAGCCTGTTGTCTGCCATGAAACAGAGCGT